CTCATTATGGTTTCATAATGTGACTGTGGGATACCAAGGTACTCATAGTTGGTCAATATGTGGCCTGCTGTAGTTCTTATCAGTTCCAACTACTTTCCCTCTCTTCACTTTCATCTGGCCACACTTCCTGATGTCATTAGATCTATATCAAGTTGTTCCATTCACTCGTAGCATACTGCTTTTTGTCATCCAGGTAGAAGAGGTGGCTGGTAGTAGTTCCACTCTTGTTCTATCCATTTCTAGTCTTTGTGATTATATTGCTGGGGGGTTCTAAACTATGCGGAATAGCAGCAGGGACAGTGCATTACCTTAATATATGCCACATAGTATAGTATATGGCACAGGAAAGTCCATAGTGCCCTGTTAACTTTGTATAGTGTCAGACCCATATGTATGTCATTGAAATGTAATTTCCTGTAATCAATTCAGGCTATGGTTAGATTGGTCTGTCTAAACTAGGGGTGTCAAACTCAAGGCCCGGGAGCCAGATCTGGCCAGCGGGGTGCTTAGAACTGGGCCATGGGGCTTCCCTGTAAATAGCAAAGGACCAGCCCACAGTGCCTCTGCCAGCAAAAATGGAGCTCAGGGAGGCCCCCCTGGGCTCCATTTTTGGCCACAACGGTCTCCTGCAGTCCTAAGCGAGCGAAAACGGAGGCCCAGGGTGACCGCACACTCCATTTTTGTTGGCAGAGAGCTGCAGGATGATATCATGGTTGAAAACAGAGCCTCGACAACTGACACTGAATTAACTACGCACCATCTCAAATCCTGATGCAGTCCTCAATGAAATAGAGTTTGACACATCTGGTCTAGACCTTGAGTCTTGGGTGACTGCATTATCTATCTGTGTAATTATCCATATGGTCTTGTAGTACAGTGGCTATGATGCATGATAGAATTTTCTTTGTTGTAGAGTGAGAAGTTATTGGCCTATAATTAGATGGTGCTGTTCCCTTGTGAGGGTTTTACCTAAACATCACTGTTCTTCCTTGTGTTAGTCAGATTGGTGAGAGCCTGCTCCTAGCAGCTGGTTCATTTGTGCTACTCTTGGTGGTAGCATGTTGCTGACAGCTGTTCATCTATGCTGCTAGCGTTCACGCTAATGCTAATTCTTAGCCAGTAGATATGGATCATATCTGGGCCAGGTGTCGTCCAGCTCTTCATTTCTTGGCCTGCTTTTGAATGTCTGCTGGTGTGCCCGTGATTAGTTCCTGTTCTGGGAGATTGCTGGGTGATACGCTCTTGGGTCCTGCAAGTGCTTTGCATTTGGGATTATAGGTCTTCTTTTTCTCCTGTATTTTTGCTGTTGGTGGTTCTGCTATTACTGTTTTGTATTCAGGATACTTTGGATAGTTCAAATAGGGCATTTATCTTCTTGGCCTGCTAGCCGTGCTTTGAGCCTTTGTTTAGCAGGCTTTAGGACTTCAGATGGAGTCAAGCCACTGTATTTTTTTCAATAACTGAATTTTATCCTTAATCTTCATATCCTTCTGTACTTCCACCAGCTGGCTAACTTTTGTATAAGTTGCTGAGTATATGCATATGTTCCGAAAAAGTATATGTATGTATGCATGCATGCGTGTATGTATATGAACATGGATTTCGATAGTATATGTTGCAGAGATTAGGCATAGCAGTTGTAAATGCAAACATCCTACTAAATCAGGGGTCACCAACCTTTTGGACCTCAGGGACCACCGAACTCATACTTTTAAATCCCGAGGACCACTAATACAATTTTTTTTTAAATATATTTAATATAAAAATTTTATTTTTTATATTAAATATAAATTTAATTAGACATACATACATATATATAATTATAACAAAATCATAAATGCTTAATCATAATTGTGGGGCAGATCAAAGGAAAAAGAGGTGCCTTTCTCATCCTTTGGGAAGAAAGAGGGGCCTGGAGGCTGGGAAGATATGGACGGGGAGGAACCGGCTCCAAACGGAAGGAATAGTCTCCTGTCATTTCATATCTCCCCCAAGTCAGAGGAAATCTCTCCTTTGCCAGGTGTGGCTGCCTGGAGTTGGGGGAGGGAAGGAGGGCCAGCTGGAAGTGCTGAGGAAGACGAGCTCCTAATAACTAGGCAACACCTCCCCTTCCTCCTCCACACAAGAAGACTCCCCTCCTCAGACTAAGCTACAGGTTTCTCCCACTGCTTCCAAGCAGAGAAGGGTCCGGCCCTATGTGGAGGCTGAAGGGGGGGGTGGAGCCCAGAAAAGCTCTTGCCTGCATAAATAGGCTGGTTATTAGGAGCCCGTCTTCCTCAGCACTCGTTTGGTCTCCCCCCCACCCCATGCCAAAGGAAAACCAGCCAGGCTTCCCCTTCCCTCCTACCCTTCTCCCTGCTCCCTTCCTCCCACTCAGTCCTACTTCAGGATAGAGGAGAGCGCACTGGAAATGTGTGTTGGCATTTCCAACACACATTTCTCTGGCACTCGCCCACAATTCTTTGCGTTCCTCCAGGCCTGGCTTGCTGAGGGGGATAGCAGCCCTGACGTCTCTGCTGCCCCCTCATGGCCCCATCCAGTGCTGCCTAGAAAAGAAAGGAAAAGAAAGCGAGCAGAAACATAGCTCTCGCTGGGGTGAAAGAGCGGAGATCAGAAGGCACAGGCAACAGAAAGCGGCAGTTTCTGCCTTTCAAAGGTGGCAGCTTCTGTCTTCTCTTGCCTGTGCCTTCTTTGATTTCCACTCTTTCGCCCCAGCAAGAGCTATGTTTCTGCTCACTTTTCCTGTGTTTTACCCAGGCAGCGATGGCTGGTGCTGTGGAGAGGGCGGCAGCAGACCAGAGCGCCGAGAGGGACGAGAAAACTGACGTTGCCGATACCGCCCTATTCTGGACCTCTGAACTGGGTGGTGAGTGCAGACTTGCCCACTCCGCCCTCTCCCACCACCATCACCAGCTGGTACTTTCCCTGCCCTGGGCTGTCCCTATAGCCCACGGCCATCGAGGAGGAACCCAGGCCAGGAGAGGCGAACTGGAAGGTGCGGGATTGCTGCGAAAATGCAAGTAGCGTGGCGTTCCTGCACCTTCCGGCCATCTCCATTGCCACTTCAGCCCGCCTGTGCCTCCAGCCCCCCCCCCCTTGCTGCAACAGCACCATCACCTCGTCCTGGCTGGTGAGGGCTGCACTGCTTTTTGCAGGGTGGGGGCCAGTGGGTAGGTGGGCCATGAGGGCAGGCCAGTGACTCTTAGAATCAATGGTCCCCAATGAACTTTGAAGGTAATGTTTTTTGAAAAAAATTGAAAGCAATGGCTAGTTTGGTTTTGGCTTTATGATCAGAATGAACCATTTAATTTATAGTGAACATTCAAGACCTGTTCCATTGTATGATTCCCTCTTTTAAAAGCCTCTTTAAAAATCTAGACATTTATTGACTCTTACAATTGAGTTTTTGTGAGCATAAAGACATAGTTATTGTAGAAGTTATTCATGATGAAATATTTCAATTTTATCTGGAACAGAATATACCTGATCTGGAACTCAACAGATAGATAAATTAATCTGCAATTAAATAAATTTATTTGTCAACAAAATATGTTTTCAAAAAATTAGGAATGCCAACTACTGGTTACATGACCCAATTCACACATTAACCTTGTTGTGTGGGCGGATGTTTGAAAAGTAACTATGTGCATATTATCTGTTTCATAAGCTATTTATGTAACTCTGTAATTCTGGGGACTCAGCTGCGCAGTTGCAAATGAAAAATATATTTCAACAACATAGAGACACATGCATAAGTAAGCTTGCAGTTTAAGGTTCCAATAGTTTTTACATGACAGTGTAACCTCTGAGGAGAATAGCAACTGAGTCTGATTATTTCACCTTATATAAATATATTTTCAATTCTTGGTAAATGTATTTGTATTCTCTAGTCTAGAATTTAAATATTATAGCTCTGATAGTTTCAGTAGATATAAAAAGTCTGAACACCTGTGCTATAATGTCAGATTTTTCAGATGTAAAAAAACCAAACCAAGATAAATCACTTTAGAAATTTTTTATATAACAAATTAATTGTATCATTTAATTGAAAAACAAAGTTAAATCTTTTAGGTTGACAAAATAACAATAAAAAGCATACAGTAGTGTGGTTGAATAAGTGTTTACACCTTTAAACTAATACATCATCAAAGAAGCTTTTAATTTTATTAGTCCTTTGGAGCCTATCACATGGCACATATTGCCTTGGGAATCTTTGCCCACTTTTCTTTGCAAAAACACTCTAGATCTGTCAGATTACACAGGTCTCTTCTGGTCACTTTAAATATCTTGGTTTGACTTTTTTTTTATATATCTCAAAACTGGTATTTTAACAATTTTATATCTACCGTATATGACTGTTTGTTTTTATAGTGCGTGGGTTTTATAGTGCGTATGAACTATCCTGAAGATTTCTGGAAGTGTGGTATATCAATTTTATAAACATATGTGTACTATTTGAGATCTGATATTGTATAGTGGGTAAAATGCTGGATTAGGAACAGAGAAGCCCAGGTTGTAGTCCTTTTTAGGCACAGTAAACTAGGCATCTTTGGACCAGTCACTGTCTAGCTGGCAATTCAAAAAATTATCTAACTGCACTGGATCAGCATACTTGATTATAGTTAATTGCTGTCAGTAATAATAATGTGTAACATTTTTTTTTAAAAAAAGATAAAATAACTAAAAAACTTAAATATAAAGTTTTTCTGTTAGTTATAGATGGTACATACTGATAAAACAGTTGCAAGATATTATCATTTTAAACCCAAAGTATGATCAGAATATCTTTCAGCTCTTCTTCTGCCCTTACCCTGCTTGGTCACTTCCTAACAGTTTTCATTTTAATGGATACCTTTGAAAACAAAAATACATTCACTGAAACTCATAGGACCAGTAAGAAATTGTATATATTATTTTGGGATACTTCTGAATGATACTTGTTATAGGTGAAAATACACATGTTTCAAATGTGATCTCACTATGTCCTATTATTATGGCAGAGTAAAACCTTCCCCTCCTGAAGGAGTGAAGTCAAATCCATCGAAAAGGCATAGAGATCGATTGAATGCTGAGCTGGATCGTCTGGCTGGTCTTCTGCCATTCCCTCAGGATGTTATTGCCAAATTGGATAAACTTTCTGTACTTAGACTGAGCGTGAGTTACCTGAGAGCCAAAAGTTTCTTTGATGGTAAGAAATTTGAATTTGTTTTCCTGACCGATATAATGTTACTATTCTCTTAAGTTATCCCCCCTTTTTAGTCCTCTTTTTTAAAGCTGAAACTGAGAAGAATTTGGCTCTCAATGTTTAAAAAAATTAAAAGTTGTATTCCTTTTAAAAGTTGTGTTCCTTTTAAGCGTATATACCGTATTTGCCGGCGTATAAGATGACTTTTTTGCCCTGAAAAACATGCCTCCAATTGGGGGGGTCGTCTTATACGCCGGGTCATCTTATACGCCGGCAAATAGTAATTGGGAAGCACTGCGGCTGCCCGCGGCTGAGGCACTTTTGCGCACCGTGGAAACGAATCCCGTGAAGCCGAAAGGAGCAGCCAGCCTTCTCCCAGCTCCCAAGGAAACGAGGCTCGCACCGCCCGAGCTCCGCTGAGGTATCC